AAAATTGTCTCCAACAGTTTGACTTCTGCCATGTATGTTGTATTGTTGCCTTTTTCAATCTAGGAATGAAACTCGAGATGATTTTAGAGCAGAAGGTGATATAAAAGTGGGTCTTTATTGGAGCAGCCATGGAAGAATATCCACAAAAAGGAAATCACCCTGAAAAACTCTCTCCAACAGTTTGACTTCTGCCACGTTTGTTGTGTTGTTGCCTTTTTCAACCTAGGAATGAAACTCGAGATGATTTTAGAGCAGAAGGTGATCTAAAAGTGGGTCTTTATTGGAGCAGCCATGGAAGAATATCCACAAAAAGGAAATCACCCTGAAAAACTGTCTCCAACAGTTTGACTTCTGCCACGTTTGTTTTATTGTTGCCTTTTTCAACCTAGGAATGAAATTCGAGATGATTTTGAGCAGAAAGGGATACAAAAGTGGGTCTTTATTGGAGCAGCCATGGAAGAATATCCACAAATCCCACCCACAGGGGTGAATGCAGTTTGATGGGTTTTAGGAAATTAAAATAATTGATAAAAGCACCAATTAGGAGGATAAGTGATGATGTAATTCCCCCACCCTCAGTCCCAGCTGTCCTTTTTGTGACAATGTGCCACAGACCTTGTTCCCAACCTTGGCTCCCAGCAAGAACCAAGACAGGACAGGGACCTCGTGCCCCCAAGGCTTGGAGCTCTGCAATGGGTTTGGTCTCCTGCCTCGGGAAAAGGGCAGGGAAAAGAACTGGGAAGGTGACAAATATATAAAAGAAAAAAGGCAAAAATCACTCTGGCATCAGTTTGATGGATAAATTACCAGTTCAGGAAATTAAAATGCAATTCAAGATGTAAACACGATGTAAACTCTTCATGAGGGAGCAGAAAGGAGTTCTATGAACTTCTGATATCTCAGCACATTCCAACAATTCCTTTCCACACCGTTGTGTAAAACACTTCCYAACAGGACATGACAACAATATTGTGCTCACAAAATTGGTCTGGAGCTATAAGCACAGCCCATTTAATAAAATTTATGTTTAGGCATTGATGGATAGACCTCCAAAAGGCAAAATGATCTATAAAATGTTGTCAGCCCAACTTCACGTGGTTTTGACTTGGGTTCAGGAGCCTTTACAGGCTCTGGTGCAGAATTCAGGTGCACAWGGACACCACATCTAAATCCTCAAATTGATGCATTGTGCAGATTTTCAAGAGCCTTGTCCAGCTCTGAATCATCACAACTCTGAAAAATAASACAAAAACCTACCAAAGCTGTTCAGGAAGAGATCCTTGCAAGGATTCTCCTTTCAGGGAGAATGAGAAAATTCCTGGTTTAAAACAATCTTTAGGTCACATTTTACTGCCTTCTAAGTCAAGGTTTGGCATAAGATTTTATTTCAGTATTTTTTTTTAATGATTGAATTTTTTTTTTCTATAAATARTTTGTTAAAAAGGAGTTTACAAAGCTGTTGCTTCTTCCAGAAAACTTCTTTTTCTAGTGGCCTGGCAAACATGATCATTATTTTGGCATTGCTTTGTAATTTTGCAGTTCTGTAGTCGCAAAAAAGGTTAAAAATCAATTTGTTCTTCTGGTTACATCAAATTCCATTTGATTTTGTGGACAATTACCATAAAGAGGAGTGAGAATTCCATCATAATTCCTAATTTTTGAGGCATGTTTATGCTTTCCTCAGTACCAGAAATCTGTATTATACTCATGGATTTAAAGGCATAACTAAGATTTTAACCACTTTTTTCCTAAAGATGACACTGTTTTATAAGAGCACTGTTTTGTCACCTTGCAGTAGACAAGAAAAACAAAATGTCTCAGGTTTTATGTGTCTGATTGTAGCAATTATAAAGTATATGGCTATTTTTCAGAATTGATCATAAGGTATATGTTCATTTATAACTTCTGCTTGAGTGACACTTGGGAAAGAGAAAATTCATTTTGCAGTGTATCAACAGCAAAGATTAGGTAAAAACTGGAATTTAAATAATGGCTATTTTTAAATCTTTGGTATGTACCATGATTAAAGTTTTAGCTTACTGTGCGGTTTTCTTCAGAAAGACTAAAACTTAAAGAAAAGGAATTTATATTGGTGTATTGACTTTTAACTCCTCTAAAAGAGTTATACAATATTTAAGCACTGTTCTGAAGGTTTTTGTGGAAGATTTTATGATTAGATATAGAGCAATAAGAAAAAAATTACCTAAGGACCACTTCCATAATTCTTCATCTYTGAAAGAGATTAACTTATGGAAATAATTCCGAAATTTGTTAAAGAAAGCTATTTATAGAAATCAAAAGGGCAGGTAAGGATTCAATCCTTTAGCCTTCACATGATCAAAAGCAAAAAAGAATCCAGTAAAATGAAGAAATTTGCATTTAATTGTAGATTTCAGGATGAAACAAAAAGTTTTCTGTTCTGTGTGAAAAACACAGACATCTGCAGCATCTTGGATTACACCACGTATCATCCCACAGGCATTGTTASAGCATTTTCAGAGCTGCATTTAATTTTTTTTTTTTTTCTGGGAAACTTTTGGCTGAATCTCTTTCTTCCTGGTCAATAGGTGAGGATTTAGCAGTGATCATCTGGACTAGAATGTTCTGCATAATATTCTTTTTTTTTTCCCCACCACTGACACCAAAGGAAAGAGCTCCTGGTGATTTCAGTGAAGTTTGAGTGAACTTTTGTGAGCAAAATCTGTCTGTGATCGGCATTTGTTATAAAAATAACTATTGATAACCATTTTGATTAAAGTTATGTGCTGTTTCTTCTAGAAATGGCTTATTTTACCGGGGTTAAATACAGAATATATCATGTTTAAAAAGGTGAAAGGACAAATTCTGTAGATCTAATGAGATTAGCTGGCTACTGCTGTCATGTGAAACCAAACCAGCTCAACTTGATCAGGACGTGACTCAGTGAYATCTGGATGGATCATCTGACAGACATAAAATTTCTATTTCAGACTACAGCAGCAAAGCCTAGTCACTATAGGGTTTTACTGTACCAGGGTTCTTTGCTATTTTGCATATTTTATGCAATTAAGGRCTGACTAATTCTCCTCTACTAAGAGAAACAACCAGGAATGTGCCATCTGGACTTTTCTTCTCCATTTTGGTGTGATATGATAAATTTATTTTTCCCAAATCAACCACCATTTATGTATTAAATGTTATTATTTTACTAATAATTATTGTTGCTCCTCAGCAGCCATGGCATCAAAGCCATGCCAGTGCTGAGCTTTCTAAAAAAAAAAAGRCCAGGGCTCCTTGCACAGCGTAAATAAACAAAGCACCCTCGCCCTGCAGATCTCAAATTCCASCTCAGAAAAGGGCTCAGTACCTTTCTGAAAGGCTCGAATTACAGAACCCAACCCCATTTAATGCATCCCTGCAAAACAATATTCCGCTCCTGCTGCCTCTCTCAGGAAAATCTATTAATATGGGTTTCCTTTGAGCATCTGCAATGGCACAGTGGAGCCATGATACGCTGGCAGGACGTGCTTATGTAACTGTGCAGCTTTTCCTCTTCTGGGAAAAATCCTTTCGGATCCGTAAATGGCAGTGGCAATGCTGCAAACCACATCCAGCATTGCTACCCTGATGGAGAAATCAGGGCCGTGTTGTGATGCTAATTAGCAACGTTTCCATGGCGTGTGGTTTATTTATGATTTGTTTTCTACTTTAGCGCTTCGTAGTTCCTTTTACAGATTTGAAAGGGAATATTGAAATTCTGCATGGATCCGTCATTATGGGAATTTCAGTGCTAAAATAATTGGTCTKGTAGAAATGTGCTTTGAGGCTGTAAAACTTCATTAGCCCTCCAGCAGAGGGCAACATCTGAAAAAAAAGAATATAATTCTATAAATCCAAAGAGCAGTTGCTATTAGGATATTGTATCTGCAACACATTTTCATCAGGGAATCTCCCTTTAAAAATACAATTTTCATTTAGTTACCGACTGGGCAAGTAAAATAGCTTAATAAGTTTAGACGGATTTGTTTAAAAGGCAAGTTATATATGTATTTTTTAAAGTAGAATATTACAGAAAGTCTGAGATTAAAATGAGATTTAAGAGAAATATAACGGTTATGACTTAGAAAGAAATACCGATTTTTGCATCTTCTTTTTTTTCCAAAGAGATAAAAGTTTATTGTTATCAGATTCTGGAAGGAAWACTAATTCTGCTCAGAATATGCTCAGTTCATTCCAGTGCTGTAAACACCACAAATCAAGGTTTAGTGCTAACCGAGGCCTACTCATAGATATGAAAACAGAAGACAAAAAGGAGACGGAAAACATTAAACACTTTAGAGGGAAGCAGTCACTAATGGATTCCTAACGTGAGCTAAAACGAGCTATGCGAGTAAAAACAGGGACGCAGAGCTAAATCTACCTCGGGAGCGGATGTGATCTGTTTACAGCTCGGCAGCAGCAGCATCCCTGCGGCTGTGCCCGGTGTGCCGGGAGCGGCTCCGCAGAGAGCGGAGCGGAGCTCGGAGCTGAGCGCGGAGCTCGGAGCTGAGCGCGGAGCGCGGAGCCGGAGCGTGGAGCGCGGAGCTGGAGCGTGGAGCGCGGAGCTGAGCGCGGAGCTCGGAGCCGGAGCGTGGAGCGCGGAGCTGGAGCTCGGAGCGGCGCTGGCCGCGGTGCTGAAGGGCCGGAGCGCCCCAGGGAGGGAGGGAAGGAGGGAGGGAAGGGGCAGAGCGGACACTCCGCACCTCCCGTGGGCTCTGCCCGCCGCTCCGGGCACTCGCCAGCGCACCCGCCCCCGCTCCGCCGCTCCGGGGACCCGCACGGTTCGGAGCGCTCCCGCACCCAGCCCTCCGTGCCCTCCCTGCCGGGCATGGCCGTGTCTCCGCCGGCCTCTGCCCAGCCCTGCGAGGCCGAGGACACTTTGTGACCGCGCCTAGCGCCTCTGCGCTGCCGGGAACCCCGGGGGCGCCTGCGGCGCGCTCCGACGCCCCGCTCGCTGCCGCACACAGGCGCGCTCCCTTCGCCCTCGCCCCCCCTCCCCGACTCCGCACGCCGTCTCCACCTCGCTCACACACACACACACACACACACGCGAGCACTCTGCCTCTCATTCTGCCTTTCCCCGTAGGTGCACCGATAGCCGCTGAATGAGGGCGAAAAGTTAAGGGATTAAAGCAATATGAACCATCGTTGCTCGTAGCGGTGCCGTATCCAGAGCAGAGCAGTATCCAGCGAGCATCCCCGCAGGAATGGAGTCGGTAAAACAAAGGATTTTGACCCCTGGCAAGGAGGGATTGAAGAATTTTGCTGGAAAATCGCTTGGTCAACTCTACAGGTAAGTCTGATATCTCTTATAGGGTTCTACTTCCTAGAAAAACATTGGAAGCTTTCCTTAAGCTGCCGTTGCTGCAGGAGGTCGAACGCTTTGGGGAGGATAGCGGTGGMGGGGCTGGGAGCTGTTGCGGTTCTGCTGGATATAATCTGGATCCTGAGAACTACTGCTCAATATGGCACCCTCATAACTTCTCTATCTGACTCGTAGATGGTGTCAGTAGAGATGTAGTAAAAGATTACCCCACCTTTCTTCCACCAACCCAGGATCCCATCTTGAAATCATAATCAGGAGGGAGCAGCAATCTGTATTTTTGTTCCATCTTAATTTYGCAATGCACTCGCAGGATCTTTAAACCCCTGCCCTTAACAAACGTAAAAAAAAAAATATTCTGGTTTTGGTTAGTCTTGTCCTTTGTGTAATTCGCCGTCAGATGAAGACAAACATGAAGATGTATAAATAATTGATAAATGAACGATTTTTTCTTTCTCCTGAAACATATAGAGGAATGTGTTTAATTATTTATCCRTCTGCCTTGAGAAGCATCTGCTTGTCCTGTAAGTGATATACAACTGCAGTTGCTGAACTCAAAAGCATCAATCCTGTGTATTTCTGTGTGTAAARAACATTTCTACCAACGTCGAGCCCTGTGCACACAGATAATTAAGCCCAGATTCTTTCATACCTGCGAAGTGCACGCACTAAAGTTCACACATCGTTCTCCATCCAATCTGGTGACTTTAGTGACCTCCACAACGTTTGAGAATAACCTGTGAAATTCCAATATRTTTTCGATTTTGCCGTCTGCTAGAAATTACCCCGAAATAATTATTTTGGTTTGGTTTTTTTGTTGGATTTTTTTTTTTTCCTTCCCGAATTAAGGTAACTGCGGATTTGTCTGCTCAGGCTAGGTCACGTAAAAATCTTTTTTTCCATACCTATGCGGCAGTGCTGGGCACAGACACAAGGCTGTTTCAGAGCATGAGTCACAACTTCTGCTGCCATTTTWAGGGAAGGGGACATATCAGCCAAGCGATAAAGGCAAAATTAAGACTTCCATTTTCATWGGAAGTGTACCATTAGGAAAAGCCAAAAGCAAAACTGAAGTAATCSACAATGCAATTATTTTCCTACAGTTTTTGGCTATATTGAAGTGATTTTCAATCGTTGAAAATTAATAATATTCAGAATAACKGCTTAAAATAAAATAAAGGAAACAAACCCTTTTTTCCCCCCACCGTTCTTAAAGACTCTACGATATTTAAACATAACTATTATCTCTACTGTTTGTAGCCACACAGTGAATAATGGAGAAACGGCGTTTGTGTTTTCCAGCAAAACTCCGTTTGAATTCACACCTCGGCTGACAAACGCGTGATTTGCTATCTTTTCCAGCTCGTGGGAATTAAGTACTTTGTTTACTATTCTTAGAACCTAAACAATTTTCTTGCCTCTTAGACATTGATTTCCAGTCTATTTCCGAAGACAAGACGCCCATTCAGGGAGAAAACACTCCTACACTACCCTTTATCCACACGAACGAATTTTGAACAAAAACCCACGGTGCTTTATTTTAGTCACAACTTTTAGACATWTCTTAATGCCGCGATCTTTAACTGTGGAAATTATACGCCCTGAAAAGAAAACGCTCAGAATTTCAGAGAATTTCAGGAGAATTTCAGCTGAGTAGCTTTTGGGAAAATCCCCGTATTTTCTGCCARACATGGATAAGCTTTTAAGCCTTATTCTGCTAATTGTTACAGCCTTATCAGCCGGATGAGTTAACCTGAAAAGATGCTTTTCCGAGTGAGAAAACACTTCTAGAGCAGGGGTGAAGGCAGCAGTAGTAGAGTCCAAAGTGTCGGCAAATGGTCACCTATTTGCAACTCAAGATGACATAATTGGTTAGCTTTTCTGTTTTACAAATATCTCAGTGACTTCAGAAGAAGATTTAGGGACTCCCTTTGGCACACCTGCTCGATACACCTGTTTTTTTCTTGCCACGGACACAGCATTTTAAAAGATTCTCCACAAAAATAATCGTAATTTAAAAAAAAATTAAAGTTCTAAAGGTTTTGAATCACCTTTCGTGGTATTCTTCAGCCGATTGGAGATAGCTGTAAATAACCGTTTCTGTTCAGATTCCTGCAGGTTGGTTTGGGGGTTTTTTGGTTGGTTTTTGTTTTGTTTTTCTAGAAGACAGGATTTTCAAGTAAAACAGAGGGAGTGGGTCAGTGAGATAGTTGCTGCTGTGGGAAGGGTAAACCTGCTAAGTGATCGCATTTAGCTGAGCACTGAGATCTTGGGCAAAGCCTTCTCCGGAGATGCCAGCTCTCTGAAGACGGTCGTGTCTTCTTTCACTGCATGTGACAGCCATTTTGCAAATCTAAAATAAATACCAATATCGCCTTCTCCTCCTCCTCCTCGCTCCTCCCCCTCCCCGTCTTTTCTCATAACATTTCTTTTGTTTCCCAACCCTAGAGCGAGATGCGCACCAAGATCATTCCTCTTGGTGTTTCTAACCCAGCAAGGAGATAATAAAACCTCCAGGAACCCTTTTTCTGGTTCTGCGCCTCTTGGGCTGCCCAACATGGCGCCTCTGCAGTGGTTACAGATGATGTCTTCTCCATGCGCCCTACATTTTTAAGCAGAACTCTTTAATGATAGATGAGCAATTCTCAGCTAGAGCTCCTCCCCGGGCTGCTGCGGAGGGGTGGCGGGGGGAGCTGGGGATGACTAATGGTGACTCCCACAGGTCATCGCTAAAGAGCGCTTGAAGGTGACTGGCAAGCAAGGAGTAAATCCTCAAATCCGWCTCCAAGCCAAAGGAGAGAGGGGAGCGGCGAGTTTTAAGATTTGAGCTCCCCGAAATTGTTGTGCCTTCAGGCGGCCGGGGCTTGACTTTCCCTTCTTGTGTCGGGCAGAGTCCTAGAGAAGAGGCAGAAGCCCGGCGACACCATCGAGCTGACTGAAGATGGAAAACCCATGGAAGTGCCCGAAAAGAAAGCCCCGCTGTGCGACTGTACGTGCTTCGGGCTGCCCCGGAGGTACATCATTGCCATCATGAGYGGACTGGGATTCTGCATTTCCTTCGGGATCCGATGTAACTTGGGAGTGGCCATCGTGGATATGGTCAATAACAGCACCATACACCGAGGAGGAAAAATTATTAAAGAGGTGGGAACTTTTCCCTGGTAAATCCCACATCCTCCCAGTACAGCYCCCAGTCAAACAGCTCAGCACAGCGGGGACGGGCTCTGGATGGTTTTGCGGCGTTTTCTCCCCGCATCTGAGCCCCGGTGTTCACCCGGCCCCGCCGCTGCCCTTCGTAGGACGGAAATCCCGTTCTTGCAGCAGAAACATTTTCTACCAATTATTTCTGCGTTTTATTTCAATTCCCAGCCCCAGTTTGCGGTATTGTTGTGCGGAGGCTTCGCCCCCCGCCCAGTTTTTGCCGCACAATGGTGAAAAACGCAGATATCTCGTAAAATAAAAGTAGGGGATGGGGGAAGGAGGGCTTCGAATACGGGACTGTCAGCGGGTGCTCCTCGCCGTGAAGGAGGCGGGGAGGTTTGGCAGGAATGTTTGAAAACACCGGGGTGAGTTTGGCAGGAATGTTTGAAAACACCGGGGTGAATTCGCTTTGACAAAAAAAAAAAAGCGTTAAATGGTAAGAACCGTTTTTAAAGCGAGTTAAAGCTCGGTGAGAAAGATGTGATAAATACAGATGAGTCTTAAACACCCAAACCCACAGACGAACCCCCCCTCGGGGCTTGCTGCCCGCACAGGTGAGTGCGGGCTCAGGACACCCGGGGCATCCCTGCCCCTCTCGTGTCCCGGGGAGGCACGGGCGGTGCTGTTTTTATCGCTCTTGTTGGTTTTGTTTTTCTGTTTGCCGGGCTGGGGCCAGAATCCCTTTGATTGCACCGTGGGTAAAGCTCTAAAGCGGCACAATTACAGCTTTCCTCTTCTCTTTCTTTGCTCCCGTCCCGGCCCCTTGCCCCGGAAGAAAGCGAAGTTTAACTGGGATCCCGAAACGGTCGGCATGATCCACGGCTCCTTTTTCTGGGGGTACATCATCACCCAGATCCCCGGAGGGTACATCTCATCCCGGCTGGCGGCCAACAGGTAACCACGGCCTTAAACAGCGCCGGGGGCCCGAACGGGGCTGGGCTGGGGCAGAAGGGACGTGGGGGACGTGGGGCAGAGCTCCGGACAGAAGGGACTGAGCTCGGACAGCCGGGGCAGAGCTCGGACAGCCGGGGCAGAGCTCCGGGCAGAAGGGGCTGAGCTCGGACAGGCGGGGCAGAGCTCTGGGTAGAAGTGGCAGAGCTCCGCGCAGCCGGGGCAGAGCTCCGCACAGCCGGGGCAGAGCTCCGCACAGCCGGGCAGAGCTCCGC